AGTTATAGTTCTTATATTTTTCTTCTTTCAAAAAGAAATCAAAAGAAAAAAATAATTCACTCCTCTTTCCCTTCTATCTTTCAAAGCAGAGGTGTATGTGATAGTTAATTACCACTGACCACACTGACCATTTATACTCATGAAGTACTCTGCACATTTAGGGGACCTGTTTCTAAAAGGGCTTTCCTTTTCCCCTCTCTGATCTCTTAAAAAAAAAAAAAAATCCCCCATTTGAACCAAACGTTTTGAGAAACATTTTCAAGTTATTTAAAATATAACATTGTATGGCTGCCAGTTTATTTGGTACTATCTATCTATACATGCAAGAAGAGCACAGTGAGAAAGAGAACACTACGTAACACAATAGTTGGAAACACTTTTTAAACTTTTTTTTAATTAAAAAAATTAGTTTTAGAGACAGAGTCTCTGTCACCCAAGATGGAATGCAGTAGCTCATTCACAGCTCACCGCAGCCTCAAACTCCTAGGCACAGGTGATCCTCCTGCCTCAGCCTTCTGAGCAGCTAGGACTACGGGTACACGCCACCACATTCGGCTAATTTTTTCTATTTTTTATAGTAACAGGGTCTTGCTATGTTGTCCAGGCTGGTCTCAAACTACTGCACCTGGCCTGGAAAAACATTTTTATCATGGAAAGAGATTATAAGCTGAAAGCTAAAGAGTAGATGGGCCAGGCATGTTGGCTCATGCCTATAAACCCAGCACTTTGGGAGGCCGAGGTGGGAGGTTCACTTGAGCCCAGGAATTCAAGGTTTCAGTGAGCCATGATTGCACCACTGCACTCTAGCCTGGGCAACAGAGTGACCCTATCTCTTTTTTAAAAAAAAGAAAAAGAAAAAGAAAAAAAGAGTAGATGGACACAAGTATCTCACATGAGGAGAAAGGTTATATGTGTATATGTGTATAGTGGATTTGGATAATGGACACTCTTAAAAGTTGGAGAATTTCTGAATACTTTACCAGAATATATTAATTTTCGTAAAACGAAAAAATGTAAATAACTACTACAGAAAGGGCAATTAAGAGCCACACTAAGTTTTAGGGCAATTAACAGCACAATAAAAATGGTTTACAGAGATCTGTATGGTAATGGTATCTAGGACTATTTAAGATGAATGACAAGAGTAATCCAGAAATGAGATACTGAAGGCCTGGATTAGGGCACAGCCCATATGTCCCTCTAGAAGATTATAGTACATAATTGGCACTCAAATGCTGGATAAAGGAATGAATTATATAACTTTAATATATATAACTAGAATGAATTAAATATTTAATAATACTCA